TTACTTGCTCAAAATGCTTTGTGATATGCTCCAAAACCCTCAACCACATTCTCATATCCACATATGTCCTAAACCCCTTCCCTTAGGGCCTGCTATCCAAAAAAGGGCGCACCAGGGGCTGATATGTTCCCCCTTTGGCCCATTAGGCCCATATCTTTGTCGGGGGTGCCCGAAACTCCTTTCCGGTGACCCGATAAGTACCCGGTACACTTCCGGTGTCCGAATACCATCGTCCTATATATTATGATAACACCCTCTAAGACCTTATTCTGCTAACACCCGTGCTTATTCTGATAACACCCAGGGTCTCCCTCGAGCCTCGACAAAACACAACTACCCACTACCCCGCCGCCAACCTCCCTCACCTTCTTCCCCCTCCGCCCACCTCTCGCACCTTCTTCTCCCGCCGACCCAACCTGTCGCGCGCGACCCCGGTAACTACTACCTCCCACTGCGCCACCCACCACAGGGCCACCACCTCCCACCATGCGGCACCACCACCAGCGCGTTGGAGCCCCGTAGGAGCAACCCCATCGCCGGCCCGTAACCAACCAGAACCCACCTACTAGATGTGCTTCCCCCGACCGACGCATCATGCCCCGACCTCCCCGTGTCGTGACCCACTTCAACGGACCACGTCCCCCTAGCCTTCTCGCCGCACCTACCCCGCCTCCTTTGCTAGCACCGGCGCATCCATGGCTGCCTCCGAGTGCCACCGACCCTACCAGCGCCAGATCTGGCTGCCCTGGGGCTCGCCACCACCGGCGATGCTATTCTTCAGGCATCTCATGGATACGCCCAGGGGGATCCATATCGCGGCCATCCCTATCCACACCGTCGTCCTCGATTCTGTCCTCGATCCATCGCCGGCTCCCCCTGTTGTATCCTTGATCCATCGTCGGCACCATAGTCCTTGATCCATTGCCAGATCCATCGCCAGCTCCCCCTATCGGATACGCCTCGGGGATCCATATCGCGGCCATCCCTCTCCTCACCGCCGTCCTAGATCTGGGTGGTGGACGTGGGCGTCCATGGCGCTCGGCGTTGTCACCCTACAGGTGCCCAACTTCCTCCTCTCCAGGCAGTCCTTGCCTCTCATCTTCTATACTGCACGGCAACATCCGAGAGGGGATCAACGGGTCAAGGTGAGATCGCCACTCCCCGTCTCTTGTCTGCATCAACAAAACTGGGATGGCCAGCACGGAGACGAACGCTGCCCGAGTCAATGCCATTGTGCCTCCTCTGCTACGTGCAGTGCTGACCTCCCCATGCTGTAGTCTGCCGCCTGCTGCGCCACGGTCAAACTATCGGTAGAGTCCACGCCGCCAGAGGTCGCCCTACAGTCCATATTTCCAGCCCGTGCAGCTCGTTCATATTTTTTTCTCTAATGCAGTTTAATAAAATCTCAATGCAGTAGAAAACGGCCCTGAAAGTGCAGTATTTCCAGCTGCGGCGTGGTTTGGTCAACGACGGCGACAATGCACTAGAAGAGTAGTAGTTGCCCGTGTGCATTTCATAAAAAGGTTTTTTTGCTCTTTTTTTTTGCAGATTTTGGATTCTGCAGTCCCCGTCGAGCGGATTCAGTGGTGCAGTTTGGTGCGCACTGCTTGCGACTCCTTTTTTGCTGCAAGGTTCTTGCAGTCAAGCAAACCCAAAATTTGGTGGTGCATGAGGATTACAGTTCATTATAACAAAATTGCTTGTCCTCAAATTGCAGTTGGACCGGTGATAAATGTTGAATATGTGCAAGAGGCACAGTACAATTCAGAGCAAAACGGGTGTGATCGGACCCCTGGAGGTGCAGTGCAATACGGCTTGCATGCAGTCCCAACGTGGCGTGCGTGCAATCACCTCCTCCCTGGCATTCCTGCACGCCTGTCGGGCAACATCTACACCAAAGTTGGAGACGAGGTTCACCGATCTTTGTTGTGTAGTTAAGTATGTATGCACGTGTAGTTCGTTAGTGTGCATGTACAACTGTAGCTCATTTCTTCACACATGGTAATTTTTTTGTTGAACTGCAGCTCACTTCGTCCCCATCATTGGCGACTCCCCCATTCCTCCTCTCCGGGATGAGCAGCGCAAGGTCTCCTGGAGTAGTCCACACAACAAGCGCAGGCAGCCATCATCGAGTCGCCATGCAGTGCACTTCTGTACTGTGAGGAAAGCATCATCGGAATTATGACAATTTTGGTAGGTTTCTTGCAAGTTTTGCAGGTTCTTGATTTTGTGCAGCTCGGTTGGTCCCCAAATACAGTTCTGCTGATCCTCTATTGCAGCTCTGGCAGGTGCTAGTGCTGATTTTGTGTGTATGTATGTGTGTGTGGCTGTGTAAAACAATGGATGGATGTTTGTGCCCATGGACATCATCAGCGACCATAGGTAGTGGCATAAAATAGAAAATGTGGTGCAGTTTGGTTGGCTCGATCATGCAATACTTTGTGTTTTTATGCGGTTCACTTGTTCTTTAAAAAAATCAAAAATAATGTTGGTGGGAGGTAACATTCTTTTGATGCAATGTAATTTTTAATGCAACCCATTTGCCCCTTTCATGCAGCTCACTAAACATTGACCATGTAGTCCAATGAGAGTAAAAAAATTCAATGAAAACCAAAACATCTCGAAGAAGTTCGCTTCATATCAGATGTAGTTCACTCGGTCAGTCTCTGCGGTCCACTTGTTAGAAAAAAGTCAAAAGAAAACAATTTTTTTATAAAATGATGAAAGAAATTATGAAATTCACTTGACTGTTTGATGCAGTGCGGTTTTTAGTTTAAAAGCAGTGTGGTTTTCTTCCTTGTCTTCAAAAATTTACGTCCCACAAAAAAGAAATCATGCAGTCTGCTAGTTCGTCTCATGGAGTGTAGTTTTCAGTCTAAACATAGTGCGATTTTCTTCCTCGTCTTCAAAAATATACGTCCCACAAAAAGGAAACCATGAAGTTCTCTTACACATATGATGCAGTGCAAATTTTCGTCCGATGCAGTGCGGTTTTCAGTCGGATAAAGTACCCACGTCGATTTGGATGTCGCGAAAAACAGAGTGTCCGCATTTCGGTAAATTTAAAACTGCTCTTAAACCGTAACGAATTAGAGAGAGTGTTCTACATGAAAAGGTTGTGTCTCGTCGATATCTTTCCAACGGCATATCATTTGAAACATTTCGACAAACGGTTTGTAAATTTTTCGCAAAAAACGGCCGCTGCCACTCATTGTCCGCCACACAATTTTCAAAATTAACTTAAAACCATAAGGAATCTCAAAAACATTTCAACATATGAAAGTTGCGCCTCGTCCATAGCTTTTCAACAGTATATTACACGCCTCATTTTGACAAACGGTTAAAAAACTAGAGCGAAAACAGTACCGAAAATTTGAATTTTTTTGAAAAACAGAATTCCGCGATTTATTAAATTGAAACTGCTCTTAAACCGTAATGAATTAGAGAAAATGGTAGATATGAAAAAGATGTGCCTCAACGATATCTTTCCAACGGTGTATCATTTGCTTCGTTCCGACGAGCGGTTTAGAAGAAATCGTGAAAAAACGCTCTCTGAAGTTTTTTCCGTACTGTTTTCTCTCTAGTTTTTTAACCGTTTATCGATATGAGGCGTGTAATATACCGTTGAAAAGATATGAATTAGGCGTAACTTCGACATGTTGAAAACTTTTCGAGATTTCACACGGTTTAAGAGCAGTTTTCAAAATGGTGCGGCCCAAGACGAGTGGCAGAGAGCGTTTTTTCACGATTTCTTCTAAACCGCTCGTCGGAACGAAGCAAATGATACACCGTTGGAAAGATATCATCGAGGCGCATCTTTTTCATATCTATCATTTTCTCTAATTCGTTACGGTCTAAGAGCACTTTCAAATTTACTAAATCGCGGAATTCTGTTTTTCAAAAAAATTCAAATTTTCGGTACTGTTTTTGCTCCAGTTTTTTAACCGTTTGTCAAAACGAGGCGTGTAATATACTGTTAAAAAGCTATGGATGAGGCACAACTTTCATATGTTGAAATGTTTTTGAGATTCCTTACGGTTTTAAGTTAATTTGGAAAATAGTGTGGTTGACGATGAGTGGCAGCGGCCGTTTTTCGTGAAATTTTCACAAACCGCTGATCGAAATGATTCAAATGATACGCCATTGGAAAGATATCGACGATACGCAACTTTTTCATGTAGAACATTCTCTCTAATTCCTTACGGTTTAAGAGAAGTTTTAAATTTACCAAAATGCGGACACTCTGTTTTTCGCGTCACCAAAATCGACGAGTGAACCGCATCGAACAGAAAAATGCACTGCTTCGAACGGTAAACCGCACCTCATTAGATGGGCAAGCGAACTGCTTGATTTCTTTTATTTACACGTAAATTTTTTTATGCGAGGAAGTGAACGGGACTTCACATCGAGCGTAAGTGAACCCCAAAAGTATGGAGAAGTAAACTACATTAGTTTATTTATCGTTTCGGTAACATTTTCTTTGCACTTACAAGATGAACAACATCAGACACCTGACCGCACTGCTTCAATTAGAAAACTGCACTACATCAAATGGTCACTTACAAGATGAACATAATTAGACACCCGACCGCACTGCTTCGGTTAGAAAACCGTACTACATCAAATGGTCACTTACAAGATGAACAACATCAGACACCCGACCGCACTGCTTCAGTTAGAAAACCGCACTGCATCAAACGGTCAAGTGAACGGCATTACCTTTTTTGTCGTTTCTCTACCATTTTTCATTTAATACTTTCCAATGGTGTTACTGCCTTTTTTCTCCGAACAAAATGAACATTGATGTTCTCTTCTCTTAGTTACTGAGCACATACAAATGATTTCCAGAAGAAAATATATAAATGAGTGAACTTCAAATGAATATCCTGGGAAATAAATTAACGTTTTTTGTCAACTGCAGCAGTGCACTGCATGCTGCTAGCTCATGAACTGCAACCTGAACCTCAAGAATAGCTAGCTCAGGAACTACAACCTGAACCTCAAGAATAGCGAACCGCATGGTCGAGTAAAATGAGCCGCAACACAACTTGAGATGAACTGCTTTTGTAAACAAAATCTCGTCCACGTGCCTGAAAAACAACACAACCATATTTCTTTCACACACACTCATTTTTTCTTTACACAACCATCGCATCTTCACACCCAAACCCATCGCGTGCCAAGCAGAACCGTGCCGGGATGCGTCGTCGTCCGCATCACAGCCAACTCCTTTGTTTTTGATGGTCGTCTTCTCTCTGCAAAAATAACTACACTGAACCACAAGAACAAACAACATAGCGGAGTGCATTATTTTTATGTCAAAACACATAGCGAAATGCATTGCACGTTTTGCGTCTTTGACTGTTCGCGGGCGATAGAGGAAAACAAGAAAACTGAACAGTGAACTATAGTGGCAGCAAAGAATCAGTTCGCCAGCATCATAGAGCGACCGCGTCGAAGACAGCCATTGAAGATGGAGCGCCAAGGGTTGGCTTACCGACGGGTGTCGCTAGTGGAACATCGGGGAAGGGGAGAGGGGGAGGATAAAGGAGCTGTGTGCACTGCAAAAGGGAGACAGAGCTGTCATGCGCGTCTCCACAACTTTGAAGAGCAGAGGCGCACTGCACGGGAGCCATGTCCGTGGTATGAACCTCCCTGACGCCCGCGCACGTAGTCACGGCCGGTGGGAGGAGTTTGGCAGCAGCAGGGGAGAGAGCACGGATCCGTCCCCTGGCGCAGCGATGGCCGAGGGATTCGGCGCCTGGCGTAGCAGCGCCCGAGGCATCCGGGAGGAGGGAAGAGCAATTTTCCGGCGAGGTCGATGGCTTCTTGACCCCTGAAACCACCCTGATCCTGCACCCCATCACGTCGTGGTGGTTGAAGGCGTGGACTATCACAAATCCGGCGGCGGGCGGACCGGATCCATCCAGAGGTGGCTCGGGGGGGGGGGTGGCTGGGAGAAACGGTGGCACCGCCGCCTGCACACGACGCCGTGAGTGGCGGAGGGAGGTGCGCTGTTCGGGGACGTCACGGTGCCGGCCATCCAGCGGGCTGGCTGGGGAGGAGGCCGAATGGAGGCGCCGGTCCCGAGAGGGGAGCGTGGATTCGCCGGGCGTCGAGAAGGCCGGCTAGGGGGAAGCACATGGTCAGT